TCAAGCCCCTTGAAACCCATGACCACAGATTATTTCAACTAAATTCTTGTGGTAATAATCCTTATGTAACATTCTCTTTGACAAGATGGGTTTGTCTCTTATGAATATGCCTGGTCTTTCATCAAGTGTACATTTCGCACATCAGCATGTTATTGAAAATTCTTCCTTTTGTGTTACACACAAATCCTCTGTCAGTACAAGGTCAAACTCAAAGTCACGTTGTGACTGACGGTCGGTCAGTCAGTCAGTCAGTCCGTCTTGGTCGGTCAGTCAGTCCGTCTTGGCATTGAGCCCAATCCGGAGCTTATGTCCAGATATTTATTACTGTTTGACAGTGTGGGGCACCCTCTCTGATGAGAGGGCAACAAAAGCCAAAGTCACATTGCGACTGACGGCCAGTCAGTCAGTAAGTCTTGGTGTCTAGCCCCCTCCTAGGGCCCATGACCAGATATTTATTACTGTTTGATAGTTACAGTCTTGTTCTTTTGTGGGTGCCATCTCTGATGAGAGGACAGGTCTGTCTTTTGTATATGCTGCTGGCCTTTGCCAGCACAGTCTTTCTCAGGTCCGAGTCCCTTGGGACTCATGACCCTATTTTACTGTCTCAGATTTTAGACTTCCCCTTTTCATTGCCTCCTACCACTCGCTGGGTCATGGTGGAGGTATTCGACCNTTGACAGTTTAGGTCTTGTTATTGTGGGGTGCCCTCTCTAATACTTGTGTGGGGGAGAGGACAAGTCAAAGTCACATTGCGACTGACGGTCAGCCAGTCAGTCCGTCTTGGTGTTGAGCCCAATCTGGGGCTCATTTCCGGATATTTATTACTGTTTGACAGTTTAGGTCTTGTTATTGTGGGGTGCCCTCTCTAATACTTGTGTGGGGGAGAGGACAAGTCAAAGTCACGTTGCGACTGATGGTCAGCCAGTCAGTCCGTCTTGGTGTTGAGCCCAATCTGGGGCTCATTTCTGGATATTTATTACTGTTTGACAGTTTAGGTCTTGTTATTGTGGGGTGCCCTCTCTAATGACAGGACAGGTCTGTATTTTGTTAGGGTCATTGTCTGCAGTATAAGTCATTTGTCATAATGTAAAGGATATTTACATTTTACATATTAAACATGATAATGAAAGTATTAAATATATACAGGACCTCTGTCAGTCCAGGCTCAGTACAGCAGACTATGCCCTATTTCTAGTAGCTTCTGCTCCAAATATAGCATCGGGGCGGACCCAAAGAAAACACTGTTCATTCTCATATGCTAACCAGTTCCATGGGCATGTGTTTGTGTTGCCCAGAAATGGGTTGTTTACCAAGAATCTGCTGCCCTAGCAGCGGCGTTGTCACGTGTTTACCGAACCGTTGCCTAGCAATGGACGTCTCCTCTGGCTTCACGATTTCGGCCTTCAGGCATCATGTCACAATACTGATAGATCTTCATTAAACTTGGTATAAAATAATGATGCTAGAGGCAACCCCACCTTTGTAATTTTTAATTTACCACACTTAATAATATCAGTACAGGAACAATGTGAATTTCTGGGGTTTGAGTATGCTACTGTTGCTTGATGTAGGGCTCTGAAATTTTGTGATAATAGATAATAAAAACATTACAAATTTTAATGAGATAATTTTTTGTATAATTTTGGCTTCATGAAATCTATATTTATCTTTTGATTTGTTGGTGACTGATAATCATTGGAGCAGGACATGTGAAATTTTGCATGGAGATAAGTTTGCCATCATAACTATAGAATGCATATGAAACATCTGTGTATGTGTTAACGACTGACTCACAACCAAATCGGCAGCATTCAAGTATACTTAATGTCTGATCATTCAGGGCAGAAACTCTTAGAGAGAACATCAGTATTTCTGCCAAGGAGAGTCTAGGTTATTATGAACTGAAGAAGTATAAGCCGTGGTTCGATGAAGGATGCTCAAAATTATTAGACCAGGGGAAACAGGCCAAATTGCAGTGGTTACAGAATCCATGCAAAATAAATGAAGATAATCTGAACAATATAAGAAATTAAACCAGCAGGAATTTTAGGATTAAAAAGAGGGAATATCTGAAAGACAGAATTGATGAACTTGCAACAGACAGTAAGAACAAGAACATTAGAGACCTGTATAGAGGAATAAATGACTTTAAGAAGGGTTACCAACCTTGAATTAGCTTAGTGAAGGATGAGAATGGTGATTTACTTGCAGATTCCCACGTCATTTTGAATAGGTGAAGAAATACTTCTCTCAGTTATTAAATGTACATAGGGGCAGTGATGTTAGGCAGCTAGAAATACATACAGCTGAGCCATTCGTACCTGATCCTAGCCCTTTTGAAGTTGAAATTGCTATTGCAAAATTGAAAAGGTATAAATCACCAGGTAATGATCAAATTCCAGCAGAACTTATTCAAGCAGAAGGGGAAATGTTACGTTCTAAGATCCATAAGCTAATTAATTCTATTTGGGATAAGGAAAAACTGCCTGATCAGTGGAAGGAGTCTATTATTTTATCAGTTCCCAAGAAGTGTGATAACACTGAGTGTAGTAAATATCGTTGGATATCATTATCAACTTCATACAAAGTTTTATACAATATTCTTCTCTCAAGGTTAAGTCCATACATAGATGAAATTATTGGGGATCATCAGTGTGGGTTTCAACTTAACACATCAACCACTGATCATATATTTTGCGTTCGTCAGATACTAGAGGAAAAAAGGGCGTACAGTGAGACAGTACATCAGCTATTCATAGACTTCAAGAAAGCTTATGATTCAGTTAGGTGGGCAGTTTTATACAATATTCTGATAGAGTTTGGGATACCCATGAAACTAGTCAGGCTGATTAAAATGTATTTAAATGAAACATGTGGTAAAGTCCATATAGGTTCATATTTGTCTGATAATTTTCTTATCAAGAATGATCTAAAACAAGGGGATGCTTTATCGCCACTGCTTTTCAACTTCACTTTAGAATATGCCATTAGGTAGGTCCAAGAGAACCAGATGGGACTGAAATTAAGACACATCATTTACATTTATTTTTCACTTCATGGATCCAATCATCTCCCCATAGGGCTGGATATAAAACATGTCACATATTACAAATTCATGATGACTACACATCATTCGTCCTTGGTCCAATAAAATGTATAATCAAGCCTCACACAGATAGCTCAAGTTGTCAGGACAACACACATAGGTTGTGGAAAAACCACTGTCAAATTCACACCTTGCCACTCCACACACACTGGAAAGCCGTATCATTAAAACAGTTACATTATAAAGTATTAAAATTCATAACAAAAACAGACATCATACATACTACTACACTTACAACAGGCAAGTCTCAACAGTATGTAATTCATGCACACAGACCATTTATTAACTCTTAACTTTTGAGCCCCTTGCATGCTCAACAAATTCATCAATAGAGTAAAATGCGTTACTTTGCAAATAATTTCGTAAATCAAACCTAAATTGCTTTTTATCATTTTTTAAAGCTGTGGTGTTTGACGGCAGAGTGTTAAATAGCTTGACGTCTGAATATAGGATGATAAATGTGTTGAAGGTATGTGAAGGTGGTCATTCCTTCTGGTACCAATCACATATACAGAGTTATTGGTCTGAAACTTATCCAAATTATTAACAGCAAATATCATCAATGGGAGCAAATACACACATGGGATTGGTAGTATGTCAAGCTTTTACTAGTGGTCAATGCTAATAATGTGAATCTACTGAGTGATAACTTACAGTACATGCCATAAAGAAAAACACAGAAACTTTAATTGATGCTAGCAAGGAGGTTGGTCTAGAAGTAAATATATGAAAAACTAAATGTTGCTGTCTCATCACCAGAATGCATGGCAACATCATGACATGAAGATAGCTAACATGTTTTGAAAATGTGGCAAAGTTTAGGTTTTTGGGAATGACAGTAACAAATCAGAGTTGATTCAGGAGGAAATTAAGAGGTGCAGTGCTTGCTACCATTCAGTCTGCTGTCTAAAAATATAAAAATTAGAATATAGAAAACTATAATTTTGTCTGTGGTTCTGTATGAGCATGAAACTTTGTCTCTGACATTGAGGGAGGAACATGTACTGAGGGTGTAAGATGAGGTTTTCATGGCACTGGCTATGAAGAAAGCAGTCTTTTTGGATGTGAATATTGTGTTAACTGACGTTTCGGAGGAACGTATCGCCTCCATCTTCAGGGTGGGAGAAAAAAGAAGGAAATCCACAAGCGAGAAACCAGCGTGAGCAGGTGCTTACAGACTATAGTACTGAGAAAAGTATTTGGACCGAAGAGAGATGAAGTGATAAGATATTGGAGAAAACTGCATAATGAGGAGCTTCATAACTTGTACTCTTCTCCAAGTATAATTAGAATGATCAAGTCAAGGAGGATGAGCATGAATGGGGCAAAGAGGACTGCATATAGGATATTTGTGGGAATGCCAGAAGGAAAGAGACCACTAGGAAGACCCAAGGTGTAGGTGGGTGGACAATATTAAAATGTATCTTGGAGAGATAGGATGGACTGGATTGATCTGGTCAGGATATGGACCAGTGGAGAGTTCTGACGAGCATGATGCTGAACCTTTGGGGTACATAAAATGCTGGGAAGTTCTTGAGTAGCTGCACAATTTGTGGCTTCTCAAGAAGGGCTCAGCTCCATGAAGTTAGTTAGTCAGTTAGTTAGTTAGTTAGTTAGTTAGTTAGTTATGCGTTAACAATTAGGAACATCATAGCAGTGTAGATCCTTAGGTTATATTGGACTGAGTCCATACGAATGGAAATTATGCACAGAAATGCATCAGCGCATTGTGCAATTATTAATCTGTATATCTTACTAGCCTCCTCATATACACTAAAGCACAGGAAGGGACATAGGGGGTATAAATTCTTAGAGCTTATTTTTAAAAAAAGAATCATACTTCTCCAGTTCTGTTGCACTGTCAACTTGAATTTGAATATTTTGCTTATTTTAGTTGGTGAAGCAAGTGGCAGAGCATCCCGTAGCGTGGCCAAGCTTATTCCAGGTCCTTCTGCAAATATTGAAGCCATGGGTCAGCGTGTGACATCAGTGACAGGTGACATTGCCAGGACACATCAGTTGGTAGTGGAGAGAGGGGAGAAACTGGGTCAACTAGAGGAACGCACACAACGGATGATGTCTGAGGCGGAAAACTTCTCCCACTCGGCGCACTCCCTTATGCTCAAATATAGAGACAAGAAGTGGTACCAACTGTGAACATCCCAGAATTTCAATGGTAATGGATATTAACTAGTGGCCAGTCTTAATTCCAGAACAATTTAAAAGTATGTGGTGTGTTATACTTCAGTCGTCAGTTTTCCATCTTATTGAGAAAAGGGAACAAAGGACCATGCCACAATAATAAGTGATAGTGCTATACAGGAACACAATTCGATTTGTACATGTGCCATAACTGCAACACTCAGAATGTAAGAACTTGTGCAAAATTGCAATTATGTAACAGATAAGGGTTTCACGCTCCCGTTAGCTTTATAGTATTGATTCATATAGCAATTTTTACACATCTTTGTAGTGGGTACTTAACTACATGATCTGTGTTAATTGACACTGAGATAAAGCTACGTGGAGGAGACTTGCGTGCTGTTTGGACAATGTTATATGATCTCCATTAGTAGTGATACACACAGTATGGATTCACCAGATTATAACACCCCATAACAAGTCATAATAATCAGCCCCTTACATTGTGTCTGCAGGCAGGTCAATGTCATGTTTGTCATCTCTCTGTTTCTGGGGCCAGTGACCATATGGCTTGTGCCCAAATTGTACATATTAGATCTTATCTATAAAAGGAAAAATCACTAATTATGAAGTACACGTTTTGTCAATAATTTTCTGTACATTAATGGAGAAAGTATGTAAAACTGGATTATTATAATGTATGTAAGAAATATTTTAAAAAATTTTGGACAGAATGCAATACCTACTTTGTGTTTGCACATGATGGAAATTACCTTGCTCTGTTAAACAGAATTTATATAGTACCATGCATAATGAACTTTTTTTAAAATTTATGTCAAAAGGGTATCACAGAGCAAAGACCATTGGGAAGTAATGATTTTATTCAATTTAAATCTTTTGATACCTTATATTACTGTACTTAATGTTTTCAGTTAGATCATAAATAAGATACACTAACTGATGAAAGTTACTTGAGAAAATAACCATTTTGATTACAGCTGCATTTCAGTATCAGTGCAGATTAGTAACTGTTAAATTCACTGAAACTAACAGTGCTGCCATTCTCTACTCTTTCAGAAAATAATAAATATGATGGTTTAAAACATTTTATTTTGGTACAAGTTGTGCCAGGGCATGTCAGGTTTGCTTAAGGTACTATGCAATAATCAGTATTGACCAGAATAACAGCCGCTTTAATTATTCAGTCAGGTGACCATTTGCGTAGTGGCTGTTAAGTCTTAGCATTCATATTTCACTTCTGTGGTATAGTTTCTATCCTATTTCAGCAATGAACATTTCCAAATTACATGTCACACAGAATTACTGGGTTTTGGAGATTTGCCAATTGTCTGATATTCTAAAAATTACAGAACACAACGTTTCAGAAACTGGATCTCTTTCAATCCTCAGGTTGGGGGGGGGGGACAGCTCCAGGTTCTGAAACGTTGTGTTCTCTAGTTTTTAGAATAGTGGAAATGGACAGAGTTAAAAACTCATTAATTTTGAGTGTTATACCCCATTGCCAGAAGCCTTTAGAATCTACTTACATATCACAGAAGGCAAACAATTTGGACTCAGTCTGTGAACTTAATGGCACATTACTATTAACCTAACAGATATTTTGGTCTGTATAGTACAGTTGCTGTAACAAGAGTTATCAGGTTTTTGCGCATTTAAAAATAAAATGGATTCTGCATGAGGTATGAAAGACATGTTCTGCATGTAACTAGACCATGATATGGCACTGTAAAGCTGCCAATGTGTTGTAAATAATATAGGTTTGTATTTTAGGGTTGTACTTAATAAAAGCAAGAAAATATGTGATAATCACTCTGCCCACTCTTAATTGTTATATTGAGACCTGATCTTTGTTAATAACAGATGCAACTTTGTTTATTAGAAATACCTGGTTGTTAAACATTGTTGGAATATAATCCTTGCATTAATTGTAAACATTTCATATAAGGGAGCCTATCGTTACAGAAACTTTGGGGGCACTGTAAACTTGGGTGTGATGTATATACTTATCATCTTTGTCTGGCGTTATGTTACTGTACGTGCACAACAAATTCTTGATGACTGTTAATTTAGGCTAATGCTATGTCCTGCATTGAAGTACAGAATTTTACACACTGCACATTTCATGATGTATATATTTTTAAATTCATGTGAAGTTATGTATACATATAAATTATGCAACTTCTATGATACATGTTTCAAAGTAATGGAAGACAATAAGAAAAAGTTATAAATTTTTGTAAATGATTTCAGGCATCAGTGTAATGATATGTAGATATTAATCTTGGGTGCAGAGGAATGAGAATAAACATGTAAGTGATTGTGGAAATGCTATAAAATGCCGCTTAATGAAATGTACATAGTAGCCCACAGTATGACCATTTGTTCTCAGATTTAAACAGTGTGTTACACACATGATAATGGTTTATGTGGGAATAATCATAGCTTCCTTTCAAACCGAGATATGTGACAGATCTGATATCTACAGCTGATTCATTATGTTAGAAAAAAATTAGAAATACAGTTTATTCAATGAAATTAACTCAGAAATGTGTCATTTAAATTAGCTGTGTTGGCAGTCCAAAGTTGAGCAAATGTTAAGATGCTAATCTTGATTAATCAGATTATGTATCCAGAACTTGTAGATTTTTCATTGTGTTTATCATATTCTCATGACACAACCTGGTTGACAAATAACAGAACATAAAGATATGTCAGGATGTTAAATTTATAGTAAAGTGAAGTTGGAAATTGTACAGTACTGTATCTCTTTCTAGAACAGACGAAAGATAAAAGAAAATTGAGGAGTTTTGAGAGAAATAACATAATCAGAACCTGTAATAAATTCCCAACCTTTCAGTTAAAAATTTGTTTAATTACTCCTTGTCAGTAAGAGTAGCCCTTAACTGCAGGAATACTTTTGTATATATGTGCAGACACCAAGCTAGTACAAAGCCATTGAAACTTGTCCCAGAGACTTTAACTACAGTTCTGCTGTTCACACACACCCAGATTTAGAACAGGTTAGAACTGTGGTGATGTCCAATAGTGATGTTATTTGTTCATCTTCTAAAAGGTGCATGGTTATATTTTCCCTTTCCTCATAACCAACATTAACCCATATGGAATAGCATTTTGGTGTATTCATTAATTAGATTCTATTAATATACACCATGGCACAACAAATAGCACATCTTTTCTTATGTGATTGCATAACAGCTTGTTGAAAAAGAAAATGGTGGATGAAGTTCTTGGCCAAGATGAAAAATAAAGTCTGCAGAATTCTTGATTGTTTTCTGCCACTAACCACAAGATTTTGAACATGGCTATTAAATCTGTGCCCTTAACATTTGACTCCTTGTTGCACATGTTGGTGGCTGATGGTTGTTTTGATCTGTTGCAGACTGAACCACAGTTTTCTCTAGTACAGTTCAAGTCTACGTATAAAACCTTGTGCATATGAAGAGTTCTCTCTTCTGGGATGTAACGGTGGGTAGTCCATTGAAAGTCAGCCAACATTTCAGAGAAACATGTCAAAACATCTTCAAGTTCAAAAAACCAGCATGAAGCAGGTAGCAAGGCGTTATATTCCAGAATATAGAACAACTTCATAACCACTGCTGTGAGAACCTCAAACCTTACATGTGTGTATGGCCTGTTTATGCCATTTTACAAACATATGTATGAATAGTGCACTGGGGATGATTTTAACATTTCTATTCATATTTCTTGTGTCACAGGCATATCCTCAACATTATTTTTGATATTTTGTATAATATAACATGACCTATACATGTATTAAAGCACAAGGATGATCAGTAATCCCAATCCATTGAGTAAACAAATTACTAGGAGACAGATTGATGTCACGACCACTCAGTGGGTGTGTAATATGTAGGAACTAAGAAACCTCCTCCACCATATGTTTCTGTAGTTGGTGCAATTTTTCTGTCACATCTGTGACTTGAGACATTGTGTTGTGAGATTTACTGTGATAACTGACTTAGCAGAAGTTATAATTTTGGCGTTGTTATATTCTTATTTCCTTAATCTGATGGTATAGAGCCGTTTCTGACATCAGGTTTGGATTTGGGCATCATTTCAAAATATTTTCTTTTCTCTCAGTATGTACCCTCTCCAGGTTTGATAATATCTCCCTTTAATCTTCTTCCATGTTATCTCATGTGCCATACTTTCTTATAATATCTGTCATTTTCCAGCTTACATTTGTTCCTTTCATATTTCTGTGGAGGCTCTTTCATGTTATTATGTGTATCATTCTTGTTTTGATGTCTTCTCCCACTTCCTGTACATGTCAAACCATCAATCTGTGCATTCTGTTCTGCTGCTGTCAATGGTTTAGCACTTAAAAGTTCCTAATTCTGCCCATTATAGTCATATTCTCTTATGCCTGTTGCAGTTGGTTTATATGTTTGTGAGTTTTCTTGACTCACAATAGTATGTTAAAATATAGCAACATAATTTGACCAGTGAAGTTACATCATTAGTTCTGTAGTAATTTAATTCTTTGACCCTGAAACTTCTATTTAATCTAGTCTAGGATGTATAAGATTGTAAAAATATACAGTGTACAGTTAACAGGTACATTTGGCAGGAGAAAATATAAATTAAATAATCAAGATTACAATGAATTCTTCCCTTATATCATAGGTATATGAAGTTGAAGGCTACCTGCGATGTTCATACAGTTTCATCAATGGAAAGGTATGGCAGTGGTTACAGAATTGACCACTAGGTGGCATCGCAGTCTTGCTGTTTGCTGAAAAAATGTCCATTTTAATATCATACATATTCAGTGATTTAATACATGTAAGAGTGGATAAATGAGAGCACATGGTAGCGTAGTTAGTTGAGGCATTATACTGCAAGCCAGAATATCGTAGATTCGATTCTCGATGAGGTCACTGGAGAAAATATTTGACCTATCCTTCCAGCTGTGCTGTGGCCCTTGACATCTCATTACCCTATGGGCCTCCATGGCCTGTTAGGGGGACCTGTACCTTAAGAGTGCATAAATGGAAGGGCAATCTGTGGAAATTAGCTACAGATGGAAAGTGTTTATTTTCAAGCCTCGGTGTACTATTGGAAGATTCAGTAGAATGTATTTAAAAGTGTGTACAATGACTGGGAAAGGTTTTGCCTTTTTATTGCATCAGAGATCATACAGAATAATATGTGTCTGCATATTACATAATTCAAGAGAGGCTTACAGAATGTATGTGGGGAAGAAATGGAGTGTATGATGTTAGTGTGGAAATAATAGCTATTACTTAAATTTATACTGTCTATCATTATTTATTTTGAAGGCTAAATCACTCATCAGTCATTGCGTGTTGATCGTGTTGTGACTGAAAGAAATATATGTCTCTTGTTTAGTGATGAACCGGATAATGGACACTATGATGTCCTGTTGCCAAATTCAATATCATCATATAAATATGTCTGTCTTTCCCTTCAAAATTTTTGAAGTTACTGAAGTTAGGCATTTTTTATGAAATTTGTAAAAATTCCCTATTTAAATGACACTGGGCTTTATCCTAGTAATATATAAATGGACATTAAATTCACATGCTAGATAATTCAGACTCAAATTAGTGAGAAGTCAAAATCCGTGGTGGAATGTTCATTATTTCTTGTATTAGGCCTATTCTGAAGTATTACTTTTGTGGTTCATTGATACTTAGCAGAAGAAGCAACTGACTAATACATTATCTGCTACTTCTATCCAGAAAATCATAGGCTTGTTTGCCAGTTCCTCGTGGCTTACACTAGCCATTTGTGAGCACAGGTATAATTTGAAAGCACAATGTAGTGCAGGATTGAGGGAAGGAGGGAATGCATAACTCTCCAAGCAGTGATGGTCTGTATTACAAGCTACCATGGTAGCCAAACAAGAAATGTTAACACACTTCAGTTGCTGGATGCTTGCAGAGCACACAAGCTACTGAAGCAAGCAGGGAAGAATGGAATGTTGAAATGTATATTTCTGCATGAGGAGGTCATGATATTCAAAATTTGACTTCATTTTTTACCTGAAAATATTTTCAGGAGTATTATTGCAAATCAGAAAACTTTTCTAAATCATGTAAACCAAAAGCAACATCATCAGTTACTATTTCAGAAAAGTGGAAGAATTTCAGTATTGTGTAACAGAGAAACATAATAGTTTTGAACAGCTTTGGAAAGAAAGAGCTACTCACAAGGAGATAAAGAACGCTCGGAATATCTGTCAAGGAGACAAGAAATCCCGTTGCTTGATAATGAGTGATGACCTTTGTATCACCAGCTGTGCTGTGAAATAATTTATACTATGAAAGGGCAGTTAAAATAAGTTCTCCAAAATTTTCAAACTAAAGTTCATTTCACTTCTGAACTTTAGAAAATTTAAACACTACTATGGAAAGTTTCCAGCTGATGCTTATGAGTTGTTATTGAATCATATGAATGATATTTTGATTAACTTTTCCTGAAAACTGAACTTTCAGTTACTTATTCAGCAGAAGAAATTTTTAAAATGAATGTTTCAGACCTCCTCAAATAATTTATTGCTTCAAAGTCTTGAGTACAGTATTACCACAAGTCACAGAATTATGTGCCTTGTTGTTAACTATTCCAACAACTAGTTCACTTGTTGAGCGGTCATTCTCTGCTTTGAAGCAGGTCCACACCCCCATAAATAGCAAACAGACTCAGGAGAGACCATCTTTTCATAGTTTAGATTTCCTTTCCCTTCTGTTCCTTAATTTAATCAATTTCTAGCTCATATTTCCATACTTGTCTTGTACGATGTATATACTCAATTGCCAGAACTTTCACAACCTCCCTCTGCTCTAAGATTAGTCTAGCACTTCAACAAGTCATGCCCCACCACTAACTCCATGGAACCAACTCCTTCTTGAGATGTCAACAGTGGTTCAGCTACTCAAGAATCTGCCAACATTTTATGAAACCTGAAGTTTCATTACTGTGTTCACAGCAGCCTGCCACTGGTACTTATCCTGAGCCAGACTAAACCAGTCCACATCGCCCCATTCTAGTTCTCTAAGATCAAGTTTAATATTATCCTCCCATGTATGTCTAGTTGTTTATTTCCTTTTGGCTTTCCAACAAAAATCCTATATGCATTCCTTTTCTACCCCTTACATGTTACATGGTTTGTTCATCTCATCCACCTTGTCTTGATCATTCAAATTATATTCGGCAAGAAGTGCAAGTTACGAAGCTGTTCAATATGCTTTATTCTCTGCCCTACTGCTAGTTCATTCCTCTTCAGTCCAAATTCACCTCATTACCCCGTTCTCAAGCACCCACAGTCTGCGTTCTTCCCAAGTTTCATGCCAGTACAAAACCACGAGCAAAATTATAGTCTGTATTTTAATTTTCATGTTATAGACAGCAGCTGAGAAGACAGAAGGTTCTGAACTAAATGGTAGTAGGCCTTAACCAGATTTAATCTGCTCTTAATTTCCTCATGAATCAAATTTTGATTCATACTGTTACTCCTAAATATTTGAACTTTGCCACATTTTCAAAGGGTACATTAGCCGTCTCAATGTTATTATTTTCCCCTGCATTCTCGTGATGAGACACCAATACGTACTTAATCTTCTCTGTGTTTACATCTAGACAGTGCTTGAGGTGGAATGAAAATAGAACCGTGATGCCATCCTGCCACATCCCGCCCCACCTCAAGCCCTGGATATTGTACATTGCATTTACTGCCAAAGAAGTAACGGGATCCTTTTAAGCCATTTAGAAAAGAACCGGGATGCCATCCCACCCCACCTCAAGCCCTGCATCTAGACCAACCTCTTTATTAACATCAGTTAGAGATTCTTTGCGTTTT